TGCTTCTTCCGCCGGTCTCGCTTTTCTTCTGCTCCCAGCAGACAGCCGTCCCCCTTTTGTCTCTCGCCTTTTCTCCCTCGGCGGTTGGTGCCGGAGTCCTTTTTACTCAGCACATTTCTAGGCAGCTTGCACTTCTCTATTTTTTAAAACATGTACAGTAATTGGACTTTTACTGAGCAAGAAAGACGTGGGTCACCTCAACGCCCGCCAACTGTGTAGGTTCCCCCCCCCCCACAAGGAATTGCTGGTGGTGCTTCGCTGTACAGTACTTTTAGGAAGTGGACGGTGGTTTCTCTATTTAACAAAAAAAGTAATTGGACTTTTACAGAGCAAGAAAGACGTGGGTTACCTCAACGCCCGCCAACTGTGTAGGTTTCCCCCCCCACACAAGGAATTGCTGGTGGTGCTTAGCTGTACAGTACTTTTAGGAACTGGACGGTGGTGGTGGGGATACCCCTTGAAAGAAGCGACTCGAGTTGCACGCAGTCCTTTCTTACGTCCGTTATAAGCCTCCTGAACTAGAATGGGGGCATGCTGCTTAGGCTGAGTCCCTTGCAAAGAAGTAAATTTCGTTGAAAGCATACTCAGTTTTTATGAGAAAGCACGCTTCACGGCGTCAGAGAAGCCGTGAGGTGAGGGCAGAAGGGAGCCAAGGGAGAGCGCACACTATCTAGTAGCTTCCTTGCTACCAGTTTTGGCAGCAACAAAGATGGAGAAAAGACTTGCGAGGAATCGGAAAAGAAATGTGTTAGTCGGGGAAGGGTGTTTGTGAGTGTGTGTGTGTAAGTGTAAGGGATAATGGGACAGCGGGTGGCATGAAATTTGTATGGTGAGTAGATGGTGGGAAATCTAGCACGCATTTGAGTACAAAACAGTATCTCTGGAGGCTTTTTTAAGTGAATAAGAGATAGCAACAAGTGATACGAGGTAGGATGGAAAGGAAATAACTTTAAATGTATACATTGTATTTCCTCTCAGAAACGTACATGCCTTCCCTTTTCCCAGCTTTATCTTCATAACAACACCGTGAGATCAGGCTGACCAAGAGGGGCCTGAGGTCACCCAGTGATTTCATGGCTCATTGGAGACAAAAATGTGAATTTTGCACTTCTAGTTCAATTCATATATGTAAACCCTAAAAAAATTTAATGACCCTGAATGACAACTGATGAAACCATCACAATGCTAGACATTTTGCATTTCCAGCATGTGACATACATATTGCTCATGTCTTCATGCATGTTTACTGAGGTTATATTCCATGCATTTGGAACACTTTACCCATACAAAAATAAAACAACCACAAAAACACCCTGTCAATTCTTTTTCAAGAAAATCATCATCATCTTCTTAGAATTGCAAAGCTGGAAAGGACCCCCTGGATCCAGCCCAACAGGGAGGCACTTTTGGAAATCAAATTCCAAACCTCTGGCTCCACAGTGTCAAAACACTTTTTGCTCTTTATTCAAAAATGGTATCCATCAACTGTAGTGAATCTCAACTACTAGTATGTTCTCTGGATCATATTGTAAGTATATTTCAGGCCTGACAGAAAGAAAGGGAATATATGTTGTAAGTATCTGAGTATTAGTAGGCTTGGACTGCATTGCCATTGCAAGGGACAGAGAATCCAGTTTGGCTTGGGTGGAAGCATTTGGAATATATATAAATGACTTACCATTCAGAGTTGGACTTGTTAGTTGTCCATGTGGGTCTTCTCTGGCTGGTAGCTTTTCAGGGTCCTAGGGAGTTGTCCCTTGCATCTGCTCCTAATCCTTTGAATTGGAAATATGAAACATTGCATGCAATGTGTATGTTCTTCCAAGTGAGCTATAGCATCCAACTGTCATAGAAGAGGCCATAAAAAGTGAAGTTGGTGTGTAAAATCTCTGTGGCATTCTGTGTGGCCAAGTCTTTCCTCACTTGATAGCTGCAAAGGATAATGCCTGAAACTGGAAGTCACACTCTAGTCTTCAGCTGTTGTGACTTTTGATTATTTTATATATTTACATGTAGACACTGATTATAGTTCCATTTTTCAGCATCACTTTTCTCCACTTTGGCCCATGTGATTGCCTGATTTGATGTAAGTGGTTGGGGTGTGTGTGTCTCCTTTAACCAAGTGCCTATTGTCTCCAGTGTTTTTTGAAGTGCTTTTCAAAGTTAGTGCTGCATCAGATTAGTGCTAGGTCACTTCAGAAAAAATACTTTTGGAAAGAAAGGGAAAAGGTGGTCCCTGTAGAAACTGCTGGTCCCATTTAACAATGTTCTGCTCCTGGTGACTCCTGCAACACAACAATTATTTATATACATTTCCCCAGCTACAGCGATTTCACCCTTGGAAGCCAGCAGGGACCCCAGTTTGAAAAATTCTGAATCAAACCAGGTTTTTTTTCCTATGTGGTTACTCTCTAAATCTACTGCTTAACATTTCTTGTGAAATAATACCAGATTCTGCAAACTGCTTTCATGTGATTTAGATTTTTTTAGATAAAAGTATTAATGTTTATTATTATTATTTTCTTTAGTTTCAGATAATAAACATTTTGATCTCGTGGATTTCCATTCCTGTTGGCCATGAGGGAGCATTCACAGGACAACATTACTGGCTCTTTCATGCCCTAGACATCTCATCTTTATTCATACACATTATAGTGGTACACGATGTGAGTAGCTGGAAAAGGATTACTACCCACAAAGATCTGTGGTTCAGAGATAATAAATATACAGCAAAGTTGAATACTATGTGTTGATACAGTCAGTATTTGAAAACTAAGTTTAGGACATAGTATTAATGCCTCACAGAAGTTAATGAAAAGGAAATGTATTCAACTGATTTGAGTGGATAAGGATTTCACTAGAAGAAGCTAGATGATTTATTTCAAACCACAGGGGAAATCTTCACTGAAGATGGGAATTTAACTTGTGTCTTTTAAGTCCCAGACACAGACTAAACACAACTTACATTTTCCAATTTATAACTGTTTCATCTGACATTTCAGATCTCTGATTTCCACTACACTGTCCTGATCTATTAGTAATTTTCTTCAGGGTTATATCAAAGGTTCTACATGACACTGTAGATATTATGAACAAAAGGTTTTCATTTCCTCTTCTAATGCTTTCTGGGACATGGCAGTTATACCTTTAAAATATCAGGAAAGTTGAATACTATGTGTTGATACAGTCAGTATTTGAAAACTAAGTTTAGGACATAGTATTAATGCCTCACAGAAGTTAATGAAAAGGAAATGTATTCAACTGATTTGAGTGGATAAGGATTTCACTAGAAGAAGCTAGATGATTTATTTCAAACCACAGGGGAAATCTTCACTGAAGATGGGAATTTAACTTGTGTCTTTTAAGTCCCAGACACAGACTAAACACAACTTACATTTTCCAATTTATAACTGTTTCATCTGACATTTCAGATCTCTGATTTCCACTACACTGTCCTGATCTATTAGTAATTTTCTTCAGGGTTATATCAAAGGTTCTACATGACACTGTAGATATTATGAACAAAAGGTTTTCATTTCCTCTTCTAATGCTTTCTGGGACATGGCTAATATACCTTTAAAATATCAGGAATAAAAATAAGAAGCAATACCTTCATCAAGCTGGGAGACCTAAAATGTCTAATGTGCTGCTGTTTTACTACCAAGAAAATACATAAAAGCCACATTTGATATGGATGTTCTTTCTAATTATTCATTATTCTGTTAAACTAATTCTTCTTCCCAGCAGGGCACTGTCAGCAACTGGTAATACCGACTTCCTTCACATGCAACCTTAGTTTTGGGTAGTTAATTCCACAGGTGATCATGGTGTTGTAGTAACCTTTAACACATATTTAAATTTTATTAATGGCTTAGAGATAAGGATGTTCTTTCAAATAAGAGATGTGTATATTCTAACAAAATGTATTTGTGTAGTATTTGCACATCCAAAAGGCTTGTTTTAGGGTCTATACTGTCTTACATTTTTATTTAAAATTCAAATCAGACGTATAGTACAATAATGTCTTTGTATTTATATTAATACTAAAACAGAAAATAAAGCATTCACACAATGGCATTTTTATTTTATTTTTTGCAAATGACCAAGTGCTGTATCTTTTTCTAGAAGGAAAAAATTGCCCCATCTCACCCCACTTCTGTATCTTGGCAATATCAAGGATTGACTGTTGCAATATGCTTTAACTGGAGGCAATCTGGTGATTTGTGCAGAATGCTACAGCCAATAACTTTATGGTTTTTAGTTGTTTTTTTCAAGGACTGAATTTAGTGTGCTTTTGGGCACTCACTATTTAAGATGCTAAACTTAATGAATACTTCATACCTTGTAGTTTGGCTGAAGCCAAAGATGGGAGATGTGATTGTTAGAAATAAGTAGCCAGATATTTGTATAGGAAAATGACTGTTCTTCCAAGATTGTACCTAGCAGATGCTCAATGGATCAAGAGCTTCTGTTGTTGGAGGAAGAAAACACTAGTACTGCAAACCCCTGTCTCTTCCAGCTCTACAGAAAGACCTGGCTTGGATCAAGTAACTTTTCAGAATCGTAGTTTAATGATGCTTTTTGTAGCAACCTTAAATGACTTTGCACTGACTGAAAAAAATAAACAAACATTGAGATGGTTTTAGGATCTTCTCTGAAAGCATCTCCTACCCAAGCTTTCAGTACTTCTTACCTGAGAGGAGAGAGCAGTAGAAAAATTACACTTTTTGACACTCAAGAGCAATCTGCACAAGGGTCAGCTTTTGAACATGTGAATAATGAACTAGATAACACTGTCCTGCCTAATCAATAGACAGTGACTTGGGCCTTTAAAACTCCTATGCTGATGGATTTCAGACCGACCTGTGCAGCAAAGTTTGGTTTTGTATATTTTGGTCTCCATGCCGATTGTTTAATAA